TTGAACACACCTGTTCTTGAACACACCTGTTCTTGAACACACCTGTTGTCAGTTGATGGATCAGTTGCTCAGCTCTATGTGTTGTAGTGTTTGACTTGATAGTCTTCTAAAACATATGCACTCAATCCTTAAAAAAAAAAAAATCCCCTTTAAGTTTTGTTGTATGTGGGTTCTGAATATAGATTCTCATTTTAACATGTAGTTCTTGTTTGTTTCTGCTATAGGAAGGAGTTACCCACATTGGGCCCCAGGACCAGTTTGATGAACCACATATAGGTATTTTTATATCTCTACAAACTCATAGTTTGAGATTTACAGAAACGACATCAGTCCTGGAAGAGATGCAGCTGTTCTCCAGTTTGTGAAGGCAGGACGTTGACAGTTATGTCATCGTTACTCACCAACTGACATTCTTGCTGTTTGTACAATGTGCCATGAAATGTGCTCAGACCTTTCATTAAACGCTGCACCGAGCTCTGAATTTGTTGAGCAGCTGCATCAGCGCAGCATTCTCCATCCAGATGTATGAATCTATATCTGAGATGTCTTTGTAGTCCTACAGGGCAGTGCCAGCTGCGAGATTGAAAACCACGAGGGGGTGGTAACGCTCAGACCGCTGCCAGGCTCCGTTTGCCTGCTCAACCACAGAGAGGTCACTGAGCCCTGCAGGCTGGCTCAAGGTCAGTTTGTCTCTGTTCACTTTATGTCTATAGCTACGAGTCACAACAGAAGTCGCCTCAGGGCTCTGAACACAAACATTCACATACAGTACATAAAAACAAATAGTAAAAGTTCTCCATAAGATGCAGCAGGTTGAGTTTTATCTTCACTTCATCACAGTCTCCCATCCTGAGCAAGAACAGAGGAGACAGTGGAAAGAAAAACTCCCTTTAACAGGAACAAATCTGCAACTGAACCAGACTCAGGACGAGCAGCCATCTGCTTCAACCAACTGGGTTTGAGAGGACAGGAAGTAGAAACAGAGAGGACAGGAAGTAGAAACAGAGAGGACAGGAAGTAGAAACAGAGAGGACAGGAAGTAGAAACAGAGAGGACAGGAAGTAGAAACTGAGAGGACAGGAAGTAGAAACTGAGAGGACAGGAAATAGAAACAGACACAGAAAGACAGGTCCAGGTGTACTTTCTATAGTCCATGTGTACTTTCTATAGTCCAGGAGTACTTTCTATAGTCCATGTGTACTTTCTATTGTCCAGGAGTACTTTCTATAGTCCATGTGTACTTTCTATAGTCCAGGAGTACTTTCTATAGTCCAGGTGTATTTTCTATGGTCCAGGTGTATTTTCTATGGTCCAGGTGTATTTTCTATGGTCCAGGTGTACTTTCTATAGTAGGAACAACAAAAAACATGTTAAAATAGAAATAATTACAAACAGGCAGAGTAGAATAAGTAACGACAGCAGCAGAGAGAAGACACATGGTCAGTTTGTCCTCCAGCAGTCTAAGCCTATAGCAGCAGATCTAAGGGACAGCTCAGGAAATCCAAGCCAACCCTAACTATAGGATTTATCAAAAAGGAAAGTCTTAAAACTGGACAATGTGTCAGCCTCACGGACAGAAATTGGAAGTTGCTTCCACAAGAGAGGAGCCTGAAGAGCAGACTGAGGAACAGCTTCTACCCTGAGGCTGTTAGACTCATGAATCTCTAACCAGAATAATCACTGTGAAAAATCACATCATGTTGCTGCTGATCTGTTTCATGTTGCTGCTGATCTGTTTCATGTTGCTGCTGATCTGTTCCATGT